TCTCTGAGTTCACCCATAAGATATTTTACAGTCATAACTTTATTGGCTGTTTCTTCTGGACTTTCTCTTCTAGATTTTACAACTTTCTTCACACAACTTGCCCTACAGCTTGTATCTCTCACTGGAGCTATGTCAAGGACATTCAGTTCATCTTCCTCACTGACCATATCCTCACTGTGCTCTTCAGAAGTATCCTCCTCCGTGTCACTTGAGCCCTCATGTTGTGCTGGACAATGCTGATGGCACCTCTGTTCAGTGCTGCCATTCAGTCCCTCACGTGATTGTAACAGGGCCAGGTGAGCTTGTATGCACCTTATCAAATCTGCTTCTTTTGTCTGGTGCTCTTGGCTTGGGGTCATCTCTCTGGCAGAAGATGCTGGGATCAATGTAGGCACTGTAGGGATGGAAGCACCTGGTGCTATACAAGGGCCCACACTGGGAAGAGCAGTGGCAGACTGCACTTGTGCAGCAGGAGCAGCAGAAACTACTGGGAAAACCCCAGGTCCTCCCACCTCTGGCACACATTCACTGGCACTATCTACAGGAACACCCTGCATAAAGAATATTCAAATTAAACAAAAAATTAACATAATTTCTATATCTTTAAAAAAAACCCCAAACAACACTACCCTTGTCTGACTCAATGTAGTCTTGATCACTCTTTACTAATTATAAGAACAAATTATTAACTGAATAATTTTCCTGTATAATAAGGAGTAATTAAAATGTAAATCTGGTTTAGATTGTCTTTATCTTAAATGTTACTGGTAACATTAAAGCACAGTTCTTTTTCAAGTGTTCTGTAAAGAAAAAAACCTCAGCAGTGTTTCTTGAATCCAACCAGAACAGGGAAGAAAGAAGAAGAAAAAAAAAAGGACAACAGTGTTACCTTTCAAGATTTTAAGTGGATGAATTTCTTAAAAGTCAAGGCCAGCACTAGCTATACATGGACTGCCTGCAGATGGAAGGTAAGTCTACAGTCTTACAGATTCAAGGTGCAAGCCCTCTACCACATTTCCTGAGGTGGCAGCTGGTTCTCTCCATTAGTTCTATTCTATACCCTGAAATACACAGGTATTTTAACATGTGCCTCTAAGATAATACCAAGTGTCTGAAGAAATGATCAACTTGATCATTGGCAGGGAAAAGCTCCATATGATATATGATTTCTTCTATCAGCAGTTGGTTAATGATCTTAAAGTGCATTACTGAGAATGCAATTAACAGTAATCAATAATTTCCTGCACCTTCCATGTTTATTGTCCATTACAGAATTCCCCATGCAGAAACAAGCAGCCAGTTGAAATGCCTCTAATTTCATTTTTTGGTGTCTATATAAGATGTGTTTTGAAAAACGATATTTTCTCTATTTATTTTGTTCATCACTACAGATTGAAATATGCAATTTTTTTAAAGGAAAAGTATTAGGAAAACTGACAAAAATAAATGTATAAATAAACAGGTAGTGGTAATTCAGTATGTTTATTAATAGTCAGAATCAAACTTCTACTTACTGACTGAGTAGTCAAGGGATTAGCTGAATGCTGCAGGGTCAGTGCTGATGTGGACGTAGGTAACAGAAAATTAAAAGCTGCAACATTTTGACATCCTGAAAGAAAACAGCACTCAGAGATCAGGAAAATTCGGGGCAAAACTCATGCAGTTAAATAGTCAGCTCTACATTAATAGTTCCACTAACCCTGATTTGAGGTAGAAGAAGGAGTTATAGTAGGAATTTGGTTACTCTCCTGTGGTGGTTGGCCAGTTATCAGAGACATCTGAGTTTCCACATGCTCACACAGTTTCTGATGCATCACAGGAGAGTGCTGACTGCAAGGCACATGAATAGGTTGAACCATCTGATTCTGTGCTGCACTGGAAAGTTCCTTCTCAGTAGAAGGTGTGGTGGACAAGGCAAATTTTCTATTTGATATTGGCACTGCAGAGAAATAAAGAACAAAAAACCCAGCTGAAGTTGCCTGTCTTCTCGAGCTACACAAACCCATCGTATTGTCTGGCAGATTCGTAAATGCACTCAACTTTCTTTCTTATACATGTAATTCAAACATTTGTGAATTTCAGTAACTGTTTAGTAAACATTTAAGGTTTTAAAAAGCAGTAATTTATGTCTACATCCTTTTGTGGATTCAGCCTGGGATCAGCCTATAACAAATTATTTGAAGCCTTGCTGTATCTCAGTAAGTTGAGGAGTCTTTTAATGCTGTTCAAGAAAAAAATCAAGCCCAAGAAAGCCCACTTACGAATTTCTTTTCGGACAGGGGCAGGAGTAATATTTCTTGTTAACCCCTTCTTCTTGGAAGTATTTCCTTTGGTTAGCAAAGGCTTGGAAGTAATTTTAAAGGTAGGTGCTTTCCCAGGTTGTTTATGGACAGCCTCCTTTCCTAGAATTAGTTGAAAGAAAAAGTAGTCAACAAAACAAACCAAGAGAGTATCATGAAACCTAAAAATGTAACTTGCATTTTCAATAGCTACAACCTGTAGCCCCGTTTTGTATGAAATTCTTCAGTAAAGCTGCACACTGGTCAAGTCCCTCATGGATAGAATCAACCTGCACAAAGAACACTGCAGTCAGAAAATGAGTACCACTGTTTTCTTTCAGTAAACTCAGGTTTGAGGGGAGTAATTTCCACTCTGTCACCTGACAAAGAACAACTGATAACCAGAAAGAAGTTTTCATATATACTACTTTACAATTATATGAACTTTTGCAAACATGTAAATTTCACAAAATAACTAAATTGTGTTGCTGCACCATGTCCATTTGCTGGATTTTGTGTCTTGGTAACTGCATGCGTGTTTTTTTTAATTCTTATTTCCATGTACAGTTAAACTATTATCTACAGCCTATTTGTATTTTGGAGACAATTGGTTCAGCACTACACAAATCCCAGTGCTGCAGCACTGACTCCATACCACTCTTTGTGCTCTTTTCAGCACAAAAATGTTACAAGTGTGGCTGTTCTTCTGCCAAGACCAGCCCCCGTCCACAAGCAGCATATTTGTGTTTGCAAAAGGTATCCTGTGCTTTAATGAGATTTGTCAGAGAGAAAGTCACTGCACACAAAACCAACTTGCTTGTATCTGCAAGGTGCAGTATAGACTCTCTTGCATCGCAGGAGCTATTTCAGGTTCAGATTAACCTACTTTTCTTCTATTACTCATGGTATTACAATTTCCCTTCTCTTTAGATAACAGGGATGACTGTATTAAAAAGTCACTTAATTACCTGATTGTCAGAGTCGGTGGAAACGAATTCTGCATCAGAATAACATCCTCTCCTTAAGCCAAACCTGAAAAAGTCAAATTCACTGTTTATACCAACTCCTCAATATGCAGCAAAGTAAAAAACAACTTACTTTCATTCAATAGTAGGAAACAAGAGGAAACTAATTTTATCAAGAAAAAAATAACTTTCACTTTTTGAAAACTTTGCATGGTTGCAACAAACATATTTAGCCAACAATAACAGCTTAAGTCAAAAGCGAATTCAGTCTCCATTCAACAATCTTACATACAGCTAGCAATTATAAAAATTCAATCTACCACAAATAAAACATATGCAGAGTCAACTCTCTATTTTTACATGCAAAATTTCTATTCGGTTTGTGTCTGTCTATTAATGGGCTGCTTAGAACCTGGCCATACTGACTTCCAGCTAAAACCTTTTTTTTACATATACAACAAATTTGGGTTAGTTGTGCAGTGTGACAAGTATAAGATTCCCAAACACTCACACATACACTCAAACAGTATTTGTGATCAAAGTCTTACTGTTTTCTTCCATTTGTTAGTTTAACTGCTCCTGACAGCCTTCCAGAGGACAAACCCTGTTGATTACAGAAATACACTTTGATTTTCATGAAGTACTTTCACAACATATTTGAAGACTACCATTCCAAGTTCCAAGAACTTTTGCAGAAGTGGATCAGTTCAAGGTAATTTACAGCTCCCAGGCCAAGGAGGGGGCAACTGCTACCACCAGGGCCTTAAACTTGTGGGTTTCATTTCACAAAATGTGCCTTTACAGCATGATGCTTTGATAATTTCCACAGCATTCTACAGATACAGTGATTCACTTACTGACACGTCCCAGAGCTGATGTACAAACTCAATAAACACCCACCTGAACTGTGGGGACTTTAAGGATCACACACCATGTGCACACAGGGTGGAAGAACCCTCACACATTCCCAGAGTCACAGGATGGGTCAGGTTGGGAGAGACCACTGTGGGTCCTCTGGTCTAACCTTCCTGCTCAAGCAGGGTCATCCCAGAGCACATGGCACAGGATTGTGTCCAGACGGTTCTGGAATATCTCCAGAGAGGGAGACTCCACACCCTCTCTGTGCAACCTGTTCCCCCCTTTAGATATTTATACACATTGATGAGGTGCCCTCTCAGCCGTCTCTTCTCGAGGCTGAGCAAACCCAGCTCCCTCAGCCTTCCCCGTAAGAGAGATGCTCCAGTCCCCCAACCACCCTCGCTGCGCTCCGCTGGACCCGCTCCAGGAGCTCCATGAGAGACTCGCCCAGAGCTGGACACCGCGCCCCGGTGCGAGCCGGGCTGGGCCCCAGAAGGCCCGACCGCTCGCGGGAGTCGTTACTGGATGGTGCGAGGGACCCTCGCAGCTCCCCTCACCCCGTCCGGGTACACGAGGGGTCCGTGAGGCCGCGGACGAGCCCGCCCCGCACCCTCAGCCCCTCCGACCCCGCTGGCACCTTGCGCGGCCGTGCAGCCCCCGCGGCGGCCATGGCCCTGGCCCCGCCCCAGCCCGCACCCGCCAATCACGGGCCGGTCCGTCCGTGAGGGGGCGGGTCTAACGGAGGGGGCGGGTCTAACGGCTGCGCCGGCGGCAGCAGGCGAGGGAAGGAGCGGCCCTTCCGAACGCGGCTGTGGATTGGTGGAGAGCGGGCGCGGAGGAGCCAATGGGAGAAGAGGAAAGGGCGGGGACAAGGTGGCCGTGAGGGGCGGGCGCGCGCCCCGGCCCCCCCCCCCGCCGCTCCTGAGGGGAAATTCCCCAACGTAGGGCGAAATACACATCCCGGTCCCTTAGAGCTCCTTTCGGAGCAAGAAAATCACTGTAATAGAACAGCTGAAGGAAGTAATATAAGCTAGGGAAAAAAAAAAAAGAAGATGAAAACAGCTCAAAACGATGTGAGGCAACTACCAGGTTAGAACCAGAACCATTGGTATACTTCTCTCTTAAGGGAGTTTCTGGAAGTTTATAGGTAAATTCTCATTGAACTAATAGATGTGGGTGCAAGATTTAAATAATGAATAATTATTCCAAATCGTTTAGCAATAAGTAACATATGGAAAAAAAAAAAAATCCCCGCACCCCAATCCCATCCTTTAGTTTGAAGATACACAGATAAGCACTTCTTCATATTCATAAAATACATCACACACATAAAATACATGGGAAAATTGAGCCTTGCAGGTGGGTGGTCACAAAATCAGAGAATCAATTGAGTTGGAAAAGACCTCCTCAATTCCAACCTGTGACCGGTCACCACGAGGTCAGCTAGACCACGGCACCAAGCACCAAATCCATTCTTTCCCTAAATGCCTCCAGGGGTGGTGACTGCACCACCTGCCGGGGCAGCCCATTCCAATGCCTAATCAACTTTTCTGTGAAGAAATTCCCCTGATGTCCAACCTGAACCTCCCCTGGTGCAGTTTAAGGCTGTCCTCTCCTTCTGTGTGGTCCCTTGGGGCCTCCCTGTGCTGCCGGCACAGCCTGTGTCCTGTGTCCCCTCAGGGACACACAGGATGAAACCAGGCTGGCGGCCAGGCACAGGGAGCTGCTGATGTGCTGTGTGCAGGCTAAATCCATCCGATCTTTGTTCTCCACGCTGGCTTCCAGCTCCTATCAAACCTGCTGTGGCAATTCCTGAAAACACCTGATCCGCACGGATCATCAAGGACAGTGCCTCAGGCTCCACATTCACAAACACACACTTGTGTTTATCACTGGCATATCAGTATTCTGCATATCCTCACTTTTATTAGCTGAATAATAGACCTTCTGAACACACAGCATTGAAAGCAATTACATTGACTCAGGCTGAAAACTATGCTACTAAGAGTACTATAGCAGTATATATATATTAATAGTCAAACATCTCTGCTCTCCCAATGTGTACATTGTGTCGTTATTACTATGTTAACATTTATGCTGAAACTATGCTGAACTCAAAGTAAAAATATCTTGTGAAGATATTTATCATCTTATCAGAAATAAACCCAAACAAAACAGTAACCCAGAATGTTTTTCTCCCAGAAATTTGGAGACTGCTTCAATTCTTCTCTTTGAAAAGTTTAAAACAAGATCACCGTAAGAGAACAGCTGAAGGAAGGAATATAAGCTAGGAAAAAAAAAAGATGAAAACAGCTCAAAAATATGTGTGGCAGCTATGAAATTAGAGCCAGAGCCATTGGTATACTTTTCTCTTAAGGGAGCTTCTGGAATTTTGTGGATAAATTCTCATTGATGTGGGTGCAGTATTTAAGTAAGAAATAATTATTCCAAATTGTTTAGCAACAAGTAACATATAAAAAACCCCAATCACCCCACCCCAATCCCATCCTTTGGTTTGAAGACACACAGATGAGCACTTCATTCTTTTGCATCAAAAGGAAAATAAATACAGAAGGCCATTGAGCTCAGTTCTTGCCAACTGAACCATTTTGAAACTGCGGATGAAACAGCAAGGTTGTCTTATAAATAATTTTTTAAAATGTGGAAAATCACTGAATACCTCTGGACCTGTCTGGTTATGGTAAAACTGTGATTTAAAAAAAAAAAATTATTCTTTGTCTTACATACTGAAATGCTTCAATGTCATGTGCTGAGTTCATACATAGTTATGACATATTGTTACTCATACTCATCATCGAGATATGTTTCAGAGAGAAAATTCAATGTCGTGTCATGAAACCATTTTTATCTTTTTTTCCAGTTTGACAGAAAACTAACATTCCCCAAATGTTTCCAGCGCATGACTTTGGGTATGGTTGAGGCCTTTGGGAAAGCAAACTGACAATCTTTCTGGTTTCAACAGTGGTGTAGAAATAATGCTTAAGTCAATTGGAAAAAAACATTAAAAAGCCGGTAAAAAAGCTGGCAAATGTGACATAAATAAAAGTATAGTATATGTGGAAGAAAAGGCTCAAATCATTAACAAAGGACAAGCTGTCCGAATTATGAATAATTAAAACATATATGTGGTTGCATTTCCAATCTTAATGCTTGAGGTGCTGTCCATATTGCATGATGCATCACCAAAAATAACAAAAAGCTTATTCTTACCCTAAACTATTTACAGTGAGTTGAAATACCAGGGTCTTACATCAAACTGTAAACACGACTGATGTGCTTAATAATGATGAAGGAATAAATATATGTAGAACAGCTTTCAGGGATCAGAGATTTTTGAGGGGACAGTTCTTAGATAAAGTAAAACAAAGTTCTTTTGTTTCAGGAAGGAAGGCAAAGAAAATGAAGCTAAAGGTGAGAGAAGACACTTATCAATCAATCCAGTTTCATCAGAAAATGGGGCTTTTCCAGTACCTACCTAGGAAAACCAAGTCATATTTGCATTCAGTGTAAGTTCCAAAAGCCTCTTGCTACCAGTACCAAAAAGCTCTAGTGATCTAATTAACTACTAACCTAAGCATGATCAAGCAATAGCACAAACTAATATAAAGTTTTCCTCTGAATGGATTACAACCAAAAGTTTGCTGGACTTAACAAGGGAGCATTTCATGAAATGAGAAGCTTTTTGTAAGATCAGTAGACCAGGAATATGTTTATTACTTTGAGACTAGTTTGATAGTTGCCCAAATCCCTGTAAGTGTCCAATTAGGGAATAAAGCTACAACTTGAATACTGGAAAGAAAACTAACAGCTCTTTTGTCTATCCACCTGTCTTTCAGTCTACAGCTGGCCAACAGAAGAGGGGAGGTGAATAGCAATGAATACATAGTTAATAATGCAACCTACAGAAAACACGTACTTCAGAAACAGGTATGTCAAAATCATGCTTAAGGGATGTCATATCAATTAAAATGGATATTATGGACCCTAGAACTGTAGTGCAATTGTAAAAGAGGTTTCAAAATGATCTACACTAGATTTTCAATGTTTCAGTCCAAGATATGCTTTAGTTCAATCACACATAGTGATAGCTGCTGCAGGACTCACTCCATGGTCTGTGTGGTTCAGAAAGCCTGTCATCAAATTCTGATTTTCTGATATATTTGGAATTAATGTGTCTATAAGCCATGAATTTCTTCTTCCTGTTTTGTAAATACAGTGGGAGAAAAAAATGACTTGGTTTTGGTCTGTCTGCTCACATGTAAGTGAAGGATTTTATGTAAAGCACATTAAATGCTCCTCACCTTGAGAAGTTCTCACAAGAACGAGATCATGAGGGTCTTGACTTGCAGGAGACATCACTAAGACTAAAGTTGTTTTGACCTTTCTGAGCTGGTGATAGTGTAAGTAACACCCCGGAGTGCTCAGGCTGTGGATGACATTGTGCTGACAAAGGACTGGTGCGGGAGGTTTGATTGCCACTGGATGGAGCCACGAGAACAGTAAATAATTCTCTCTGCATGGAAACCAAAAGGGGCTTGTTTCCGTACAATAAATCCAGGCACATTTTTGTTTAAATAACACTAAGAGAATTCCAGTGATATTTTACAGAATCTCCGTCAAAACTTGTCTTTTGAGGCAATCTTACTGACAGGAATAATGTTTTGTTAGGGAAAGTGCATGTATGAAAATAGTAATTTTTTTGGCTAAAGCACTATTTATTTATTTCTCTACTAAATATAAAATCTACTGTGACATCAAAATGACCTTTAAAACCACATAAACAATTTTCACAGTATGGAAGTTTAGTAGCAGATCTAGAATCTGATGGCTCTAGAGGGAAAAACAAACTCTAAAAAGAGATGATTTTCTCAAATACTCATTTTCATTCTGTGTTAGAAAAAGAAATGAAGAAATAGAAGAACAGCAAATAAAATACCCAAACAGAATTGTCTCTAAATAGAGTGTTTGTCCAAATTTCCTATGAGGCAGATTTTGGAAGCAGTACTACGATGAGAGTGTTGAAGTCAAGGGTCAATGAAGTTTGTCCCACCAAGGTTAAATCCTGTAACACTTGTTTTAGGAGCAGATTCATAGATAAGTAAGTTATCATACCTAAGAGACTTAAAAATAATACTGTTCTGTTGCAAAAAGCCAGTAGAGCTTTAACCACAAATTTCCTCTTGAAGCTTTAGCTTCCATTTGAGCTGTACCAGCTCCTTCAGATGATCTCAGGGGGGTCTCTTCCAAGCTAAATAGTTCTGTGATTCTGATTCAGAACTTTTTTCTTCCACTTTTTTTTTCTCCACATCCACTTTTGATTACCTCAGTGTAATCTATTGCCTTGCTCACATCCATGGCCTAACCTCATCTGAATTAAAGTTATCAGCTGGGAAATAAAGCTGGCTACACCAGTATAATAACAGTGCCATAACCAGTGCTCTATTAATTCTCCACATGATCCCACATAAGAATTACGCAGCTAAGTAGTCTTCAGTATGTAAACCTTTGCCCAACTCTGGTAATTAGGACGAGTGAGAGGTCCTTTCCTAAGATCTGCAGTGAATCAATCTCATCAATACATCTAACTAGTCACATCAGCACAGTAACCTGGTTGTCTTCCACTAATAATAGAAATGCACAAATCCATTTTCCTCTCTCTATTAAATGGCTAGAAGAAGTCACACCTTTAAGTGCTGTCAGAAGTATGTAGGTACTTTTCTGAATCCATAGTGAAACCCGTGACAGTATTTCCTGGGTTGTCAGCATGAAGTGATAAAGCTTTTAAATTCTGGTTTCTTGTGGTTATGTGAGAAGACTGCAATCTGCTTTCCATACATATTGACTATCAATTGCCATTAGATCCAAACCCACGCCCTGCCCTTTGGTTTTCTTAGTAACTGAAAACACATGTTGTGGTACTGACTTCCCCTCATATTCTTAGGTTTCTTTGACAGAGACTGTCTGAATATTAGGTAGTGTGAAAAGATGCTGATCTGTTTCCTTTGACAGAAGGGGTTTGCTCGAGTCTTCTACATTAGCTACACAAAATCTGAGTGAGTGAGAACAACAGCAAGACAGAACCAGGATACTCGTAAGACAGAACCAGGATACTTGTAATCAGTCCTGGCTGCTGAGTGATGCTGGAAACAAAGGAACTCTTGCACTCACCCTGACAGCATAAATGGCTTCAGCAAACTATTAGATGAACGTTACAACCTTTGTCCCTGTCTCTCCAGCTATCTTCCCCAATGCTTAATCTGTTGCCAATTGTCTGGAAAGGAAAAAGCTATTACAAATATTCTTGCCTCATTGATCCCTGAAAAAATATAGTTAAAGTAGTTTCCCTACTCCTAAAAAAGATTTCCTCCTGATTTTTAGTGGTTACCTGGTTAAAGCATGCTATTGCACATGCCGGTAATTGCAAAACATCAGTCTCCTTTTTCGACATAAACATCAACTCAAAATCACAATATAGAGGATATTCATTCAGGACACCATGAAAGTATGAATAAACTTACAACTCCAATCAGGAATTCCAGGGCTAAAAACTTCAGCCACTCGATTTCTTCAGTAAAGCGTCCAGTATTCCCTACACTCACAAATAAGTCTTTTGGGAGATTGAGTGCCTCCCACATGTGAGCCAGTCCAGCTACATGCAATGTCTCTCTCCCTTCCATCTGGAGACAAGCACAAACTAAAAATGCATCACAGGAAAATGCATGCTATTTTCCTCCATTCAGAGGAGAACAAAGTTTTCTGTAATCCAGTATCATCCCCGAAATACTTGAATTGGGCTTGACCTAGGCTTTTTTTTTTTTGAAGTGTGCTGTGATGTATAGGGAGCATCAGTGATATCAGACACTAACTGGGTGCCTGAAGCACATGTTTGTTGGGTATATCTAATAAAGATTATAGCAAAAGCACTCCATAAGTAAAATGGAAGGAAAAAGTAGAAGCACATAAATGATTACAACTTATAAAAATACAGGTAAAATTAACAGTGTGAGTACAGGAAATAATTACTTCTGTGACATCTGGAAGGATGTTAGTTTTACAGAAGTGTGGCCTGACTATAATTCAAGATTTGTTAGTAGACATTTATTCATGCATATTCTTTCTTTGGCAACTTGGGTGAGCAAGCGATCTGAGTTTGAAAACCATGAATCTTCAGGACCAAAAGAAGCACAGCTGAAGAAATAATCTACTTTCTACTATATAGAAACAGTTAATACATCAGTATTCATCATCCATTGTATTTATATTAACCATACAGAACATTTACAGACATAGAAGTGGAAGCAGATTATCCAAACTAAAAATGTAGTCAGTGTAACAATATAACTGAAATAATAAATGTAGTAAGAAGCCTATGGATGTAAATTATCAATGTTTTATATATTTGCCCCAAAGTGGGGAATATATCACTTTCTTTTTGATCCAGGACTTTTAAGAGCTTTGATGTGATGTCTTTCCATTCTGTGCAAGGCACCCTTCCTAATGTCTGGGGGAACATCACCAAGGGCCACAGCAGCTGTTTGATAATTCAGACCTATGGCTTCAAACTTGAGATATCAAAACAAAGAAGGCAAGCCTAGAGGTCACCTGGACTCTTCTGCTCCAAGGCTGGGTCAGAGACATCTGTGCCCATCCTGCCAGGAGCCTGCCCTTGAAGACCTCCAGCCTTTCCTCTATGTCCCACAGCCCTGAGGGCATCAGTGGCCTGAATAGCCCTGACCAGCCTCCCATGGAATAATCTCTATGCCTGTCCTTGGGCCCAGGGCTCTTATTTCAGCCCAGCCCCACCAGTCCATGCCCCAGCAATGCCATAGGATGCCAGGCTTGGGCTGTACCACAACCCTGCTTTGCTTGGCCATGTGCCCTCCTGATCCCAGCCTGCTGGTTTGACCTTGGATCTGCTGCATTGCCAGAACTTGCCAGATAAGATTGGCTTGAGCTGCCTCCCCTGGCCTGCCCTGACTCCTTGCAGTGGGATGGGCCCTGGGTGGTGGGTCTCTGCCCTGCCAGTTGTGGCACTGCACGTGGCTCCTGGCTCTGAGCTACCATCCCCCCTGAGCAATCTGTTGCAGTGCTTCACTGTGAAAAAGTTTGTTCTGATCCTATCTTAAATCTTCCCTGCTGCATTTTAGCCTACTCTTTTCTTTTCTGTTCTCTGTGAATGTGGAAAGCATCACTTCCCTTTCTTCTTTGAAGTAGTGTTTTAAAGATTCGAAGGTAATTATTGTGTCATGTTTGGTATTCCATTTTCTGTGGTAAACAACCTGAAATTGCTCAATCCTGCCTGTGGGTTCTGTTTCATAGAATTTTATTACTCTCTTCTGAAGGCTTCATCTGATACACATCTTTCTTGAAATATAATGCCCAAAACTGGACAAAACGCTCCAGTTGAGACCTTACCAGCACTAAGAATAACAAGAGGATTACATCATCTGTCTATAAATGTTACCCTTGTTTATATTTCTCAGTACAATGTTTTTCTCTTTTGCAACAGCACCGTGTTGTGAACTGAAGTTGAATTTGAATTTCACGATAGTCCTCTAAACTTTCTGCAACAGTGTGAGATATCCACTTATTCTTTACATTGTGTATATTGCTGCTGAACTCTGACTCACTGCAGAATTTTGCACATTCCCTTATTGAATGGCTATCTTTTTTCCACAATATTTCTTTATTACTGTATTAGCATAACTTTTAATCTAGGTTTCATCCTCTAGGTCTTTGGGGTTAGAATCTGCTCCCTTTATCCACATGTAGCTGCCTTTACACACTTCTTATATCAAATACTTTCCCTTCCTATCAGCAAAGTAGTTAATAACACAAACATTTCAATTACCATTTTGATTCAATGTTAACACAACAGGATGATGAATCGGTTCTGCCAGAAAATATTTTGAGAAAAATTCAGTGTATTACACTTGCTGTACTGCTTAGTTATTCCAGGTTAGTCTTGCTGCTGCAGTGCATTGGCTTCAGAGTGTGGCAGTGGGGTGATGAAGAAACAGGTTCACAACAAGCCTTGTAAACGTACATGC